CTTCCGCTTCTCAAAGCGAATCAATAGCACAAAAAAAAAAAACGAATCAGAAACTAAGTACCTAGTTTTTGGAAAAATTAACCGGAGACCTAGTTTTGGGCTCGTATTCGGTTATTCGAATAATTTATTCGGTTTCTGCCCAGGCCTAATTTCTGCCTCTGGCTCTGGTCTGGGAAGGAACACCACATGGCAAGCCCGCCTACATACAACCGTCAGTAACACCCACCACACACCCACCACCATCCTGCACTTGTACACACACAAACTTATACACACACTAACTAAACATGATCAGTGGGCAACTTTTGAACGTATGACGAGCTGAGTTGTGGATGGAGAGACAGTGTGAGTGACGACAGAGCGGGTGAAAGGAAGAATTTACGAGTGTATCCACAGGCGACAGCAACTACAAGACGACGACACCGACCCCCCTGGCCTGGTCCACAGCTCACGAACGAAAGGAATGATGCTAAGGCAGTGTTTTACCTATATTATTGTCCATGGTTCGCAGGGAGCAAGGGAATGAGTGAGATTTTCTTTGTGTGTGCCTGGAGGGAGGGGGTGGGGTGTGAAAGTCATGAGAACGGGGATGAGCCGCGGGAGAGAACACGGGAATTGAATGAATGAGTGAAACTGAAAGAGAGGAACGACTCATGAGCACTGGAGTGAATGTATCCTGTTTTAAAAATATTTTTGTATACTTTGAACTGTTACTGAATAAAGGCTGAAATAAAGCCCGAAAAACACACACACTCACTCCTCACTCTCCACTTACACACTTACTACCACACACAGACACACTCACACACGCACATGCATACACACACACACACACACACACACACACACACACACACAGGAGCAAATTTTTGGGTCTATATCTATTTCAATTTTCAAGAGCTAGTCTAGAGATTTTTAGATGAGTGTAAAAACGTGAAAAAGAAAGGTTTCACAACAGAATTAAATCAAAATTAGTCGAACAGCCCACAAACAACCACAAAAATTAACAGATAAGGGTGTGTGTCAACCTAGAACCCATAAAAGTGCGTAAATTTTTTTTTTTTAAAGTACAGGATATTACATGTAAATTATGGAATCACACACATTAAGGGGCCTGCCAGTGTCAGTACATGTAATCGGTTTTGGTGGAACGTACGCTCTAACATAAAACATTTAAATCCATATATTATATACATGTATATATATATATATTTAGAATCTAATGAAGGTAGGTACTAGGAACATCAAATTAAATGACGTTACACTATGCAACGCCCCCCTCCCCCTTTCCCCAACAAAAAATAAATTAAAAAATTGATAGAAAAACAACACATCAGAACAATAACAAGAAAAAAAGTTACACACTAACAAAATAAAACACCACAAAGAGTCAAAGAGGGAAAAATAAAAGTAACTGTAACGTATTCAACAAATCAACGTGGTGACAACAAGTGAGAAAGAGACTAAGTGAAGCTAAGGGAACTTTCTTTCAAAAGTAAAGAGGTTCGGTTTCTTTCTTTTTTTTTTCTTTTTTTTTTTTTAAATTTGACTTGTATTCCCCGACCAAAAAATGCCATAAAATCGAGCCACGATTGATTGGTCGCGGCAGCGACAAACGCTGAAGCTAGTTCTATGTGTCGTTATCAATAACCCTCCGTAGATCTAGATCTAGACAGCACATGAGTGAACACAACACATTAAGTTTAAGAGCAGCACCCTTCAAAGGCAACACGTCATATCTGTAGCGAAAAACTGTTTGGAACTGTAGTATTTCTTTATATAAATATTTACTGCGGACATTTTTGGACCGATTTAACCATTATTGTATACCAACAATCTTTGGTAGGTCTATACTCTATATAACATCCGAAATTTGGGGGAAAGTATGTGATTTCAGAGTGTTCGGAGAAATAGTGCCCAGCTTTATTTTCCCGAACGTTCGGAGAAATAGTGCCCAGCTTTATTTTCCCGAACGTTCGGAGAAATAGTGCCCAGCTTTTTTTTCCCGAACGTTCGGAGAAATAGTGCTGGTTTAATTATAGCAGAGAGTATATATTTTAGTGTCTCTGATTATAGTCTCTGGTTGTAGTATCGCCGGAAAACTGATTCTTTGAACGGTCTTTCCTTGTTTGTTTTTTAACCAAAGATCGTTCAAACTTGTTTGAACAAAGAGTCTACATATGATTCGAGCTTGACTCGGAACATTCGACTCCTCGAACCATTATAGTTGATGCTCGATTAAGGATTCTCGGTTGATTCATTCCTTGTTCCCACATAACAGCGAGAACTTTAAAAATGACGATTTTCTAAAGGGAGTGCTATACCATAGATGTACCAGAGAGTCTGTATAGCGAGAGAGGAAAGCGAGGCGGGCGGTCCGTGACAACAATGCTGGCGGATGCGAGATCGCGGCGCGGCGACCTACTTTCAAAGTAAGAGGGTAAACAACACGTGCGCAGGGTGTGGCCCAGTGCTCGATGAACTGTACTGTTAAGTCAGCAAAGACATTTACGGGTTAGGGTCTCATGATTCACCACATCACAGCGTCCTCCCGCCTGAACTTGAAATAAAGGGGCCTATTGATGCTTCGCTGGGAAGCAGCATTCGGGATAATGCTTTTGGAATGAGGCCTATTTGTTTGGTGTTGTGAATGACGTTTGGTAGGACTGACTGGAGGATTGCTGATTTTGTTGGACCACGGGACAGCACGTACGAGATTGGTTGT